TTTCTCCCATCCATGTGTTAAGAGATTCCACAAAGGCATATGGAATCTGTACCCACTGCTCAGAGAGCTAGTGCCATCATGAGAGCTGAACCTAGTGCTCGTCTCTATCATGAGATGACCTTTTGAACTGCTCACAGCTTGCTCCCTACTCTACCCCTCAATGAAAGTAGCCTTTCTTGAGGCAATAACATCAGCCAGGAGAGTGGGAGAGATAGCAGCACTCGTGGCAGATCCACTGTATTTCACAAGGACAAGTTTATCCTTAGAACCCCCCTGAAATTCCTGTTCAAGATCCCTACCTCATTCCATTGTAATGAACCGGTATACCTAACTGTGTTCTTCCTGAAACCACACGAGGACAGCAAACAAACTGTGTTGCACATGCTGGATGTATGCAGGGCATTAGCTTTTTACTTAGAACGCACAAAAGGATTTCTACGTGTATACAGGCTATTTGTGTTTTGCATGGACAGATCCAGAGGTCAGCTTGTTTCCAAACAATGAATATCCAAATGGATTTCTACGTGTATACAGCTATTTCTGGGAGTAAGCCATAGCCACCAACAGTTACCTGGATGCTCTCCATGAGAGCAGTATCTACCACAACTGCATTCCTCGGGGTCTTCCAATGGACATCATTTGCAGAGCTGCAACATGGGCTTCAGCTAATACTTTTGCACAGTGTTACACTATTCAGTCCTTTCAGGACTCAGACACTAGATTTGGACGTACCATAATGTCCAACATCCAAACTTGCATTATGGAGCGCCCTCCACCAAGTAGGAATACTGCTGCATAGTCACCGAAGTGGAGCACCCATGGGAACCTTCAAAGAAGAAAGGAAGGTTATTCACCTTGTGCAGTAACTAGAGTTGTTCGAGATGTGTCCCTGTGGGTGTTCCACACCTCTCCTCCTCCCCTCTGCTCCATGCTAACAGTCCGGCGTAGACAAGGAATGGAGGAAACGGCTGCTGACTTGTGCCTAATTGTCAGTCAGGGTGATTGCGCAATAGCACAGCGCACGCTGGTGGCCAGAAGACTGCTAGCAAAGATCTCCCAGCCGTGTGTACAGCGGCGCTGACACACCTAAGTGGAGTACTCACGGAGACATCTCTCGAAGAAGTTACTGCAAAAGGTGAGTAATTTTCCCTTTCCTGCCAAGTTCACATGTGGCTCTTCTGCCAAATATCAATGACAGCGGTTGAGGCTAGGTTTAGTAATATGTCCAGGAGATTGTTTCAGAATAAACAAAACATATGGCTTAAATCCCTATCTAAACCTTTACTCACTCCTAGCTATTAGGAATTTATTATTTCCTACTTTGGTTATTTTTTCCCCACTTGCAGCCACATGGGAGTCTTTGGTAGCATGGAAGAGACTGGCTTTTAATGGGGATTTTAATATTAAAGTGATCATAGCTATGAAATAAAAGGAAGGCTTATCAATTTGATTGCTATTTTCACAATTTCTAGGCTCCTTTGGTTTGTTCTGTCCACTTGTCATGTGGGATTTACGAAAGGCATAACTGTAATATTGAGGGTGGGAGCATCCCAGTACTGAGTTTGATACAGAGAGAAACAAAATTTCTTCCCACAGTAGAGAGAGAAATGGCTTATGGCACATGAGCAGTATATTGGTAGGTCCATTTGACTGCCTTTACCTTTAGCAGCAACATTCAGTTATGTCTGCAGTGTTTCCCAGGAGAAGTGCAGACTCATACAAAATATAATGCTAGAGGGATTGATATCTGGCTGGGTTTTGTACAGCTTTTGCTGGTTGCCAATGAAAAGACTTTGCTAGGGTTGTGGTTTGTTTTTTTTCCCTCTCCCTGCTCCCTGACCTAGAGGGTGATGAAGAGGGAGAAAATCTCTCTGCCCCTTTTAATAATCAGGCCTCCCCCAAGATGACTCATTTGCCTTATCTTCCTTCTTGGCATGCTGCAGTATTTGCTGGACTTTTCCATCATGCTCAAACCTTTGTGTTATTGACCCCTTTCATACAAAAAGCCCCTGAGTGCATCACCCCCTTATAAATTAAAAGCACTCTTTTATATTTAAGACTATTAAAAATGCTGGAGTTGAAGCAGTACTTGACGGTGGAGGCTGACAGCTCATGACCCTTCACCTAACCTCTGGATTAGGGATGTAAACTGTCATTTAAAAAAGTTAACTGGTTAAATACTGTGTTTAACTGGTAAATACGGGAGCAGCCCTCCCGCTGTGGCATGACACAGCGTCCCAGCCCAGCTCGGCCAAAGCAGCCTCCCACCCGCTGCACCATGGGCTGCTCCAGCCAAGCTGGGTCAAGCCCGCCGTGCAGTGGGTGGGAGCTGCTCAGGCTGGGCCTGCCAGTTAACTGGTTACCTGTAAGCATCACCACATAGGTGTGATGCTTACTAGGTAACCAATTACCCCTTTACATTCCTACTCCTGATTCCATGAGGGGTTACAACCTGTAGTTGGAGAACTGATTCTAGCTGCTATCTCAGTAGGGGGGGGAAGAGGACAGGTAGGTTTTGTTGTGAGGCTGCCTTCTTTGCCAGCTGCTTGTGCATTTGGCAGGGGTCCAAAGCTATCTTCTTTCCTGGTTGGACCTGACCTCAGAGCATAGCAAGAGTGGGGAAGATAAGCAAAGAGGCCTTTAATCGCACCTAGTCCCCAGCCTGCATACATGGGAGGGTGCAAAATGGTGGCAATGCCTAAAGGGTGTAGAAGATAAGTCAAGCAGGGTGGAAGGGATTATGTTTTTTCTCTCTGAGGTGGCAATCCAAGTGGTAGTTAGAGCAGTGGTTCCCAGACTGTGCTGTGTAAGCTGTTTGGGGTAAGGAACATTTTTGTTTTGTTTGCTGTTTGTACAATGTTTAGCACAATGAACTCAGGTTCCTATTCACTACAGTAATACAAATACTTTCCCACAGGTCAACAGAAAATTGACTGGTAGCATGGTGCTGACTCTTTAAAAAAGCTGCTGGAAGAAGCAATAATAAATGGTTTAGAGGGAACCTTCACTTTGGATCTTATTAACTGTGTTACCTCTCAGATGTGCTGACTCGGGCAAAGAGGGTTTCACTGTTTTAAAATAAAATTTTTGTTTCTGTATTCTGCTTTGCTGAGATGTACTGTGGGATTTTTTTATTTTACCTTGACATTGAGGGACATTTCCACAGTTGAGCCACTCTTTTTTGGTGACAAATCTGAGGAACCATTCCAGTTTCAGTTGTTAGAGGAGGTTTTGGAACAAATTGATACATTAATCAGAAATAAGTCATGAGGATCAGACAGTATTCACCCGAGAGATCTGTCAGAACTAAACTGTGGAGTGTAACTTATTGAAATGAGTTTTTGTCCCAGATGAATCGGAGGATAGGAAATGTGATACTTATTTTTAAAAAAAGGTGATCCTGGCAATTATAAGCTGGTGTGTCTAACTTTTGCACCATCCAAATTGATTGAAACTATAGTAAAAACTGGAATTATCAGACGTATAGATGAACATGATTTGTTTTGTCTCTTTCCCCAATATTTTTTGTAAAACAATATCCTGCCTCGCCAAACTATTAGAATTCTTCAGCGGGATCAACAAACATTTGGACTAGGGCAATCCAGTAGCTGTATGTACTCAGACTTTTTAGAAAGCCTTTGACAAGGTATTCACCAACAACTCTTAAGTAAAATAAGCAGTAATGGATTAAAAGGAAAGATTCTCTTGTGGATCAGTATTTGGTTAAAAGGAAAAGTAGAAATGAAGAGACATCAACAGCAATGTCTCTCAGGGAACTATATTGGGACCAGTGCTATTCAACATACTCATAAATGATCTGGAAAAAAAGGTAAACGTTAAGGTGGCAAGATTTGCAGATGATACAAAATTAGTCAAGTTAAGTCTCTAAAGCAGAGTATGAAGAGTTTCAAAAATTTCTCACAAAACTGACTGGGTAACAAAATGGCAGATGAAATTACTTGTATATATTCAAAGTAATGCACATTGCGACACACAATCCCAATCATACCTACAAAATAATGAGATCTAAATTAGCAGTTACCCCTCAAGAAAGAGGTTGTGGAATCATTGTGGATAGATATCAGAAAACATCTATTCCATGTTCAGTGGCAGTCAAAAAAGCTAACAAAATGTTAGAAATCATTAAGGGAGGGATAGAAAATATAATACTGCTGTGTTAATCCATAATACACCCATACCATTAATATTGCATGCTGTTCTGGTTACCTTACCTTAAAAAAAATTGTTACAATTGGGCAAGGTGCAGAGGAGAGCAAAAAAATGATTAGGGTTGTGGATTAGCTTTCATATGAGGAGAGATTAAAAAGTCTAGGACTTTTCATCTTGGAAAAGAGAGCTGACAGGAGATATGATAGAGGTCTATAAAATCATGAGTGGTGTGGAAAAAGTGAATAAGGAAGTGTTTATGCCTTTACATAACACACGAGCCATTGTTCACAGAATGAAATTAATAGGCAGCAAGTTTTAAAACAAACAAAAATAAGTATTTCTCACAACCTGTAGAATTCATTGCCATGGGATGTTGTGAAGGCCAAAATTATAATTGGCTTCAAAATAGGATTGCATAAGTTCTTGGAGAATAGGTCCCTCAATGGCTCTTACCCAAGATAGTCAGGGATGCAAGCCCATGATAAACTCTTAATTTCTAGGGGGTTGGTGTGAATGGCAGGGATGGATCACACATAAGATTGCCTGTTGTATTTGTTCCCTCTGAAGCACCTGGCATTGATCACTATCAGATGACAGAATACTGGGCAAAATGAACCATTGGTTTGATCCATAATTCTTATGTAATTTGCAGATTACTTTTTAACATTATGGCTCTTCAGACTTTAAATTTATCAGGTGTGCAATATAGAATTTGCTTTCCTAAGCACTTGAATCTGCAAAATGTACCTTTTCAGGTTACTGTAAGTAGCACAGTAGAAAATCATTACAAAGCTGATTATATTTTAAGACTTCTAAAATGTTTTGTTCAGATTGGTGTAACTTCCACAAATGGAGACCTGAAAGGATTTATAGATCAGAACTGGAGTCCATCAAAAGGTAAGAGGAGTTGAATTTGTCTATTCAAAAAAGAAACCCTTTCTAAGGTTGCCATCTCTCCAGACTTCAGCAATTTAAAATGTTCCTTTGAACTGTTGGTGCACTCACTGTATGTGATTGATTTTTTATTTATTTATTTATTTTACTTTTTTTTGGACCCACCTTAAAATATTAAGCATAAAGTACTGTATTAGGTACTAGGAATGTAAGTTAGTAGTCGAGTACTCATCTACAAGATAAGCCAAAGCTACTAGCTTTCCTCCCCCTTGCTGCCTCTGTATCCAAGGTAGCAAGGGGGGATGGAAACAGGAGTGGGTGCTGGTGGGAGCCAGCTTAAAAGGGAGGAGGGGAAGCTGCCATGAAGCAGCCTCTGCCCGTAGTCTTGGACCAGCGCAAGCCAGGACTGCTCAGTGCCGGTTTGCGCTGGGTCCAGCTGCGCCTGTCTGCAGTAGTCCTCTGCATTTTAAATGTAGTGAGAACACGCAGAGGCACAGCGGTCCTGAACCTGAATGAGCCGAGACTGCTTGGTCCCGGCTTGCAGGGTCCATAAGCTACCCCCACTACTGCTCTGCATTTTAAATATAGTAAGAGGGGGGCAGCGTGCACCGGACTCCTCCTACATTCAACTGCAGAGCTGAAGTGGGGTAGCTCCTGGACCTGCGCAAGCTGGGACAGAGCACCTTCCCTTATCAACTAATCATGTAATTGATACAAATTGACTAATCGACTACACTTAGGTAATTAGTCAATTACCGGCCTCTTAACATCCCTAATTGGTACCTCAGTATCTGTAAGTGCTATGTTGTAGACCCACGACAGTGACTCTATAATTAAGGCTTTAAGATGAAAAGCCAAATGAGACTTATAATAACTATCAGAATATTAAATTCACTAATTTTTTTATGGAAGCAGGGAATGTGTCAAATCACCATCTTCTTACTGAACCCTGAATCTCCATGTTGCAGGGATGCTCCTGACTAAGGGAAAGATGAACTGATCTTCTCCCAGGATTAGTCTGTGCCTCTGAGGGAGGATGAGTTTGTGGTTAAGGTACTACACTTAGGGTACATCTACACTGCAATACTATTTCAAAATAACTAGCACTATTCCGAAATAACTTAGTTCGCCTCTACACAGCAGGCAGTTATTTCAAAATGGTGTCAAAATACTGTCAAGCTGGAGGACGTATTACTCTGACTACTGTAATGCTCATTGTACGAGGAATAAGGAAAGTCTGAGGAAGAGTGCTTTATTTCCAAGTAAGTGCTGTGTAGATATTCCCTGTTTCGAAATAAGCTATTTTGAAATAAGAGATGCAATTGATGTAGCTCAATTTGCGTAGCTTATTTTATGGTAAGCTCTTCAGTGTAGATGCCCCCTAGACTTGAGAAACTGGATTTAGTTCCCAGTTCTGTCGTAGACTGTGTCCTTGGGAAAATCACTTAATATCTGTACCTCATAGCAATTGTAATATTGGATCAGAAACATGTTTACAGCAGTGACCAGTACTAAATGTTTCAAAGTAATTCTGTCATCTACTTTATATTTGAGAGAGTCTGTTCAAGAACCCTTCCTAAATGGTAAGAGCTAGGACCACCAAATTCGGCATAGAGATTCCTCTTTTCATAATTTAAAACAGGATTGGGATTTAGTTGTCCCTGGAGTGGGATTGCTTCTCATAAAACCAAACAGAAAAGAGACATAATCACCAGGGAGGTGAAAGGGGCTGGCTGGGGGTGCCACCCCACCATTCAGGACTGTCTCAGCCCCTAGCTTTCTCTCCTAGGCACTCTTTAGACAGGGCAGAGGAAGGGGCTGAAGCTCCCTCCCCCAATGCGTACAGGGATGTTGCTGTCTGTTCCCTTGTCAGGTAATGAAGAGAGAGTGCGCAAAAATGAATTAAGGACCCAAGCAATGCCAGGTAAATCTTCTATATTCTATATAAGGTTTATTGGCCTCATTGCCACAGTATATGAGCATCATCCACTGTTGTATTGAGAAGAAGCAGATGTGTGAATTTGCCCCCATGAAGGTATGGTCTTATTCCCTCATTTACAGATTGCCTTACACTGGGAAATATACGTGTTTATATTGCTATCAAAATGCAACAAGAATATCCAGAGATAATGGTATCCGTATAAATGTCCAAGCCTTCTCTGATTACAGTCGGTCCCCAACTTGCAACACGATCGGTTCCTGGGGAGGCATTGCAAGTTGGGGGTGTTGTATCTCAAACCTTCATTTACGATGGGTGCTGGGTAAGTCGGGGGTGTTCGGCCCCTTCCGCACTTGCAAAAATGGTCGTGAGTGTGGGACGTTACAACTCGGGCCGTCGTAATGCGTGGGTTTCCTGTATTTAGGTTTTGGTCTAAGCAACATCCTATGGCATAAGCTGCACAATCTAACTATGTGCACCTCAGTTCTCCATCTATACATTTGTGATTCATATAGATCTTTTGTCTTGATTATTTAAATTTTAAACCCACTGGATAAGGATTGTCCCTCACTGTGTGTACAGCACAGAGCACAATGAAAGCCTAGGCTTTGTTAGAGCTTCTAGGTAATAATGTAATACAAATAGTAATTGGGACAGAAGTGAAGCTGCTCTGTAATTTATAAATATTCTGTTGACATGGTTACTGGGTTTACAGTAAATACTTTGGCTTAGTTCAACAGTGGGCTGTAAGCAAGAGGAAGAGAATAGCTCAAGATATGGCAAACACTTGAGGCTTGTTTTGGGCCATTGACTCTGAGGAGTCTGCTGATTGACTCAGTCTCCTGATAAACCCTATAGCCATGCCAGGATCCAGAGGGGCTGGAGCGAGGAGGCAGCCATGAGGCTGGTGGCTGGTCCAGGGCTTGGGGTGGGGGCAGTAGCAGGGGAGCCAGATATTATCACCCTTGGTCTAGCAAAATCCCTCATCCGGGATCTACTGGACTCAAAGGTGCTGGACCAGGGAGGTCAGACCTTCTGCTACCCTCTTGTTCTTGCACTTCAAAAACATAGAAGTGTGTAGCGGGATGAAAGCATAAAATCAGCATTGTTAGGAAAGACTGCATAACTAGTGCCATCACTTTCCCTGGCTTCTCTACCTGCATTTATATTTAGAAAAAGAACTGACCACAGATACCTCTATCCAGGTATGGGTGTGGTTACGTGGAAATTGTGGCTTGTAATTCCCCATTATAGAAAAACAGGTGAGAGAGACCAATTGGTGTGAGAGGTGAAAGCAGGTGGGATAGCTACAGGAGAAGGTGATTAGGCTGAGGATGCTTCTTCTTCGAGTGGTGTCCTTGTGGGTGGTCCACTGAGATATTGGTGTGTTCTTGCAGCGGGGATCAGAGTTTTTTTAGCCTACCAGTACCTTCCCGTGCTGCACATGTGCAGCAGCCATCTTGCACTGTTTTCATCCATTAGCTGCGTGCACAGCGCTAGTGTCCCGCCAGTTACTTACTTTCTACTGTCATCTGCAGAAGACAGAGTTTCCAGTTGTGCTCTCTACACCTGAGAAAAACATAGAAATATATAGTTAGTTGTTGTAGTTTAGTCAATTTTAGAGTTAGTAGCGTTATAGTTGGGGGAAAGAAAATATTTTTGTTTGGTTCTTGCTCCAAGTTCTTAGTCCCAATCAGCATGATGCCAGGCTCCCCTGGTTTTAAATAATGTGATTCCTGCAGATACTCGATGCCTGCCTCAGATGGGCATGCCTCATGTACAAAGTGTCTAAGTAAAGGCCGTGTGGCGCAGAAGTGCCTACATTGCCAAAGTATGACCACATGGGCCAGAAAGGTCCGTGAAATGAGGCTCAAATTTGTGTTCATAGAAATTCCTTCAACCACCAGAAGCCAAACAGCCCCCTCAGAACCTGTAATACTGAGAAAAATAGCTAACTCATCACCCAGAAGGGATTCACATAAGTCCCAGGAGTCTCTAGCATACTCCTTGTCTGCCATGCCATCCACTTCTCATGTCAGGCATTCGCAAGTGGCGTCAACATCCGGCACAGCGCACAAACAAAAGATGGCACCAACCAAGGGTGACAAGCCAGAACCCAAAAAAGGTCACCACGCTGGCATTGTCAATACCAGCACCCATGAATATGCTGCCTCTGCCGGTGCTGAAAAATACCACAGCACTGTAACTACAGGACTCTGTGCCCAGCAACACCTAAACATCCTTCTGCACCACAGGTGCTGAAGTCTAAACGAGTGAACCGCAGCTTTGGGGCCCGACACCACCATCATCGGTGCCCCCTTACTGGTGCCGACCAATAAGTCACCTCCCCATTCCCCCAGGATAGTGGAACCTAACCTGCACCGACATTCTTTGGAAAACATTTTGTTCTCTCCTACACCATCTCCAGGTACTGGACCTGGCATGGGATGGGACAGTCTGTTTCCCTCACAGCATTCCTCACCAACGGCTTCAGTGAGCTAATGGTGCTCAAGCAGCTGCAGACCTTTATACCACCCTCCTCAACTTGCTTGGCTCAGCCACTCATGGTTGTTTCCGCCCCAATAATATCAGCCCCAGTTGAAAACCCTAGGAATCACTAGGCCAATATTACTTTTGACCACCTCATAGACACCAATTTCGCCCCTCTACTGTGCCTACCCTGATGTGCACCCCAGCTAAACCTCTTCCACCAACAGTTCAATCCCCTCCATCTCCTCTTCCCCTCTACCCCCCTCAGCCACAATTCAAACTGGTCTAGTAGAGGATGACGATGACATACCTCAGTTAGACTCAGACAGCCAATCCCCTCTTTTTCATCCTTCCCAGATGAATCAGCATTTCCCTCCTTCTCTTCTCTGCCAGCTGATGACCTGAAACAATTTCAGGAATTATTCAAAAGGGTAGCACAGTCACAAGACAACCTTACAAGAGGTGAGGAAAACCAGCACAAACCATTACAAATTTTACAACCTTCCACATCTTCCAAGATTGCATTACTGATAAATGAGGTCATCATAGAACCCTTGAAGGCTATATGGCAAAC